AAACTTCCTCAAATTTTTCAGATGTCTTTAACACAAATAATTGTGTGAGGCCGTTGTATCATTACTTCATTAGCGAGTCTATCCAGTCTTAGTTTTTAACAATATGTATACTTATACTAAATAATATTTTTTACTTTTATTTATGTTATTTAAAAATATGTCAATGAAACTATACATATTTATTCAAAAAATTAACTATTTGTAGTTAGGTATACCTAACAACACCATCCATATTGTTGACATACGCTATCACCAACAACAAACGAAATGATTTTAATGCCTATTTAAGACAAATGAAACAAAAGTGACGAGGAAAATAATGTTTGCTTTTTATAAGCTTCCATGTTTTTCTTGTAGTTTTACAGCTTTGAGTATTGCTCGATGATTTTTTTTGATGAACTTTCGATGCCATAACCATAGTGATCAAAGTGGATGATTGCAGCTGAGGTGTATGGATTTTCTTCATGGGAACTAAAGGGAAAACAACAACTCTACTCAAGAACTTCATAGTCATTGTTCAAAAGTGACGAGGAAAATAATGTTTGCTTTTTATAAGCTTGCATGTTTTTCTTGTAGTTTTACAGCTTTGAGTATTGCTCGATGATTTTTTTTGATGAATTTTCGATGCCCTAACCATAGTGATCAAAGTGGATGATTGCAGCTGAGGTGTATGGATTTTCTTCATGGGAACTAAAGGGGAAACAACAACTCTACTCAAGAACTTCATAGTCATTGTTCAAACTCAATTTGATAAGACAATCAAACAAGTTAGGAGTGACAATGGACAAGAATTTGTAGGTCATTAATGTCAAAGTATGTTTGAAGAGCCTGGGATTGTACACCAAAGACCTTGTGTCTATACACCATAACAAAATGGTGTTGTAGAAAAGAAAAGGCATAAGCAGCTTCTTGAGATAGTAAGAGGACTGATGTTTGAATCAGGAATGACCATGAAGTACTAGCACTATACAGTTCTTACTGCAGTACACATCATCAATAGGCTGTCTAGTGTACAATTGGGAGGCACCTTTTGAGAGAATCTATAATTAGCCACCTGATTATACTAGACTGAAACCATTTGGTTGCTTGGCATTTGCAGTCAACACAAATCCCATTAAAGGTAAACTGGACTCGAGGTCTACCAAGAGTTTTTTCTTGGGTATGCTAGAGGATGCAAGGGTTACATATATACTACTTGACCTTGAGAGTGGCATGAGATTTATATCAAGGGATATGGTGTTTTCACTGAGGATTTTCCTTGTAAGGGAAAGGTCGACGAAGACGGCACACCCTTGCCAATACTCAAATATATAAAACGGAATGATGGTGATGTGGGTTCAGTGAGATAAAATAATGAATTTGATCAAATTGAAGTGTTGTCTGGTGCAAAGAGGAGAATGCAGACATTTTGGATGAAAGATTACATATGTGGTGATGATATAGTTGATGATCTACAAGGTAGCAGAGATGATGTAGCATTTCTGGCCAATATAGCCTTAGGACAAGAACCTACAGACTTTGATCATGCTAAGAAATATAAGCAGTAGGTTGTAGCCATTGATATTGAGCTCAAGGCACTAGAAGACAATCATACCCGGGAGTTATCAAAGATACCACTTGGTAAGAAGGAAATATGCCCAAAATGGGTATATAAAATCAAAAGAAACGCAAATGGTACAGTAGAAAGGTACAAATCTCAGTTGGTGGCAAAGGGCTTCACTCAGGTGGTACGAGTGGACTATTTTGATGTTTTCTCACCTGTTGCAAAATTGGTGATAGTAATAATGTTTATGGCACTGGAAACTATTCGAGGATGGACAATATGGAAGCTAGATGTGAACATTGCCTTCTTACATGGCACCTTATCTGAAGAAATATATATGAAACTGCCCCAAGGATATAACAAAAGGAAAGATGATCAAGTGTGTAAACTCGTAAAGAGCTTGTATGGTATAAAACAGGCATCTCGAGAGTGGAATTTTGAGTTACTAAAAAGGTTGTTGGAGTACGGCCTATCACAATCACCACATGATCATTGTTTGTTCACACTGCATAAGAATGATCATTATCTTGTTGTGCTAGTTTATGTGGATGATGTCTTGATCATGGGATCTAATCTTGAGCAGATAAATGACCTAAAGGCATACTTGCATGATCTATTCACTATCAAGGATCTTGGGGTTGCAAAATATTTTCTATGAGTGGAAATTTCAAGATCTACCCGAATTCATCTCTGTTAGTGAAAATGCATCCTAGACCTCTTGAGAGATATAGGGCTTGAGGATTGCAAGTAAGCAGCAACTCCATTACCATAAGGATTAAGATTGACTCGTCATGATGGTCAGCCATTGCAGAACCTGACAAGTATAGAAGGTTGATTAGGAGGCTTTTATACCTTAACTAGTGTATATCCCGTGCGATGCACGAAAGAGTTCATATTTTAAATATTTTTTAGACTTTATTTTAAATATAATTATTTATATTTTTCACATCTCGTCTATTATGAAATAAAATAAATACAATCAATGAAAAATATATATTATTAAATACTTTTCTTGATACAATATTTTTTGTTTAAGGAATATTATTAAACCTTACGGTTTTGATTTTTTTTTTAAATCAATAATCCAAAATATATGATTGTTAACGTACAAAAAATAATGGAAATAATCCAGACTTTAAAGTAAAGATATTTTTTATTATTTTACAAATAAAAATCTTCCATATTTTTTTTAATTTCAAAAAAATTTTGGCAAGTTTGATAATGAGTTAAATCAAGTTATACAAATGATTAAATAGTTAAAATGTTATATTAATTATATTTTAAGAAATCCGATTATATAAGGGTAAAAAAATATTATACTAATTAGTTTGTTAGGATTGTGATTATATGGAAGTTAAAATAAAATGAAATGTAACCAAAAAATTTGTTCGTGGTTTTTTCCTTTAAATGTTTGAATTTAAAAATCTAGTAACCAAATTTACATTATATCACGTAAGGAAAAAAATAAATAATAAATATTTATTAAAGAGATAAATCAATAATATTTATCACTTAGATAATAAATAATAAATATTTACATGTAAAAAAATAAATAATAATATATTTAAAAATATAAGTCAGAATTTCAAATAAAGAAAAAGGAGGGATAACTCATTTTCTAAAAAAAGTTTCTAAACATTTAATATATTGATAAGTATCTCCATAAAATAATCATACCATTTTAATTTTAAAAAAAATTGGCAAGTTTGTTAGAGAGATAAATCCGGTCAGACAAATGATTAATTTGTTAAGATATTATATTAATTGTATCATAAAAAATCGGTTAGATAATGTAGATAAAAAAATATAATACTAATTAGTTTGTTAGAAATGTGATAATGAAAACCAAGATAAAATGAAATTTACCCAAAAAAATTGTTTGGAATCTTTTCCTTTAAATGTTTGAATTTACAAATTTAATACCGAAATTCTATTATATCACATAAGGAAAAAATAAATAATAAACGTTTATTAATATATTAAAATATGTAATTTTGAATTTCATATAAAGTAAAAGGTATGCTTATTCAAATTTATTTTTAAAATAAAAGTTATGATAAACATTTATTGATTCTCTTTCAAATATATTAATAAAATAAAAATATAAATCTAAACAAATTTTGAAACAACCAAAAAAATCGGATTGATTGGCATAAAAAAAGGAAGTGAAATCGGATTTGAATGATAAAATCGGAACACCTTACCAAATTGAATGCTAAAAGATTCGATTTGATTGGTTACCTAATTGCATGGGCTGAAAAATTTAAAAAAAAAAAATTTACGAATTGAAGAAGCAGGAAAAACACTATATTGAAGCGGGAAAACAAAATGATTTTTTTCGGATTGTTCAAATAATTTTTCTTCTCCGTATTATATAGTAATAGATATGACTAAGCCAGATGTGAGCTATGTTGTTCAGCAACTGCGCCAATTTGTTAATGGTCCTGTTACTAAACATTGGGATGCAACAATTTCCGTTCTTAAGTATCTTAAGGGTACTATCACTCTTGGCTTAGTTTTCAGCCCCAACTCACAGCCTACTCTAAGTGCCTTCTGTGATGCTGATTGGGCCACTTGTAAAGACACCCGTAGATCGATCACTAGATATTGTGTCTTTGTTGGGGACAACCTCATCTCTTGGAAAAGTAAGAAGCAGGTTACAGTGGCGCTATCATAGGCCGAAGTTGAATACAGGTCAATGGGCACAATTGTTTGTGAATTGCAATGGATCTACTCTCTAGCCAAGGAGTTTCAGTTGGAGCCTGTATTGCCAATCAAACTTTGGTGCGATCATCATGCAGCCAATCCGGTCTTCCACGAGAGAACAAAACATCTTAAAATCGATTGCCACATAAATCGTGACAAATACAATGCAAGCTTCATTCTACCTACTTATGTGCATTCTTCAACTAAACTAGTCGATTTCTTTACAAAGTTACTTCCAGCTGCTGTTTTTCGTCAATTATTGTGCAAGTTAGGTGTCTCTGAGCTCGAGCACACTCCACCTTGAGAAGGGGGTGTGGAAATGCAGCAATTTGGCCTCGATCTCTCATGCATGGATAACTGGCAGTGAAGACGACAGTTATAACTGCCTTTACATTATAGTCAAGTTTTATCCCTTAATCGCATTACGTTTTCGTAATATGTTATTTGCGTTTTATTTTTTGACTTAAGTATAAACGACGTCGTGTCAACTATGTGTCTAGACGACACCGTTTCTTCCTTAGCTAAAATCAATATTCACTTTCCCCACAAAATTCAAACTTGAAAAAACTTTGTATAGCGAAAATCATCCACACTCAACTTTAATCATGCCACGTGGACACAAGGGGCAAGTCAAACTATGAAATATGAATCTCCGTAAATAAGACATCCATTTGTTGGGTCACCTGGCTTTTCATTACTTGATAAAGTCCATGAGAATTGGAAACCTTTTCTTCACATATTTGACTTTTTCCACACATATTTACATTTACATTTTCACTTTTCATCAAAAACCTAAAAAAGAAACACTTCTTCTGTGTTCTCATTCCATCACCTAATTCTGCACTGTACATTATTATTATTACATTTACATCATCAAAACATGAACTTTTTTTTTTTCTTGTTTGTGGCCACACAAAAAGACACAGATAAAACATATCAATTTTCACTGATAACAACCTTAAATTTCTCAAGCACAAATTTACCTTCCTTGTACTTTTGTGAATCCTCATAAGCCTTCTCATATTTCCACCCCAAAACCTCTTTGCAATCTCGACAGTGAACATCGGCCACCATATGCAGGCCCGTCATCAGATGTCGATCCTCTTTCCGGCCCGTGAACACGTTCACCACATGAGAAAACAGAAAGGCTCGTCCGTTTTTCGACTGATCGAAAAAAAAAAAAAGAATTATTTTGCATAGCTAAAAAAATAAAAACGAATAAAACACTGTATAAGACAAAATTCGGCTTACCTGAAATCCTTTAGAAATAATAGAGTCATGAAGAGCAACAGGGTTTCTGCATTTGTAGCAGCTGTACAACCTTGGACCAATATTCAAATCCTCCATTGATTATTCTCCAAAGTCCAAAATTTATAATGTGTTGTGTGTTTTTCTTGATCTGATGTAGAATCTAAAGGTTGGGACAAATGATTGAGTGTAGAGAAAATGGATTAAAATTAAAGGTTAAGTGATGATCCCCAAACTAGAAAATTGGTGCTAATGTAAGCAAAATTTTGGCATAGAAAAAGACAGGGAATTTGATCAAAGGGCTTACTGAAAAAGGCTCCACTGTTTAAAAATTCATATTTTGGGTATTAAATTATTGGATATCAATAATTATTGTCACACAATGGCCCCATTTAGTTGCATCATGTACCCTGAAATAACAAAAGGCCTCTTTCTCACCATGAATTTGAACAATATATAAAAGGCAGCAACAATGATGATCATATTGATTTCTTTATACTTTATATATATGCAACATGGATGTATAGTATGTGTATTCCTTCCATTTTTTTTTCCCTTCCTCTTTACATGTATCAATCTATGGGTAGGTTTTATCAGGAATAAACAA